GGTTAGGTAGGTGAACTTCCATGGTCATGCTTCTTTAATTTACCATTTTTTCTGTCTCTAATTCATTTGCATGTTAAGTCTGAAAGGATCATGGTTGTAGCTAAGAAGTATCTAACTCAAAGTTAGATAATAATCTTTTAACAGAAGGCTTTGGTCTCCCCAGAAAAATAGGGGTTAGGAAAGATCCAGTCTCAGGCTAGGTGATTCTTCCTGGTTTTTGTTAGTTTGGTGTGGTGGCTATGACTAAAAAGCTGTCAGGTAGTCCTTATCAGGGAGATAGTCTAGTTGCTATGACTTAATTGACTAAAGTTGAGATATCTGAGTGGCCCTGAAGAGGTGAGCCCAGAGCATTGTGGCAGGGACCAATTTTTTCCAGAGTTTGTGTGTCTAGTAGTCAGCAGAGCAACATTCAGCAGAGACTATGAGAGCATCAGAGCAAGGCACCAGCCAAGAGTACCTGAAAAACAAACACCATGAGCCTAGTGAAACAAGGTGCCAAGCAAAGATTCCAAATGCAGAGAGAAGCAGGTCCAGTGAGAGCAGTATGATGACATCACCATAACATATAGGTGGCTTATAGCATCAGAGGTATGAATTACTTCTCTACATGTATTTCTTCCCTCCACCCCAATCCCTTGTGGATAGTCCTTGTGTGTACTTTCCCTTCTGATTTGTATATTTGTGGGAGCATGCCCCTAGATTTGCACGGAGAGAATGCTTTATTGCCATCTTTTTGCCGCACTATTTCATTAAATGACTTTACTTTAAACTAATTGCATGCTCTGCCTGACTAGAGAAAAAAGTAAACACATAATTGGGGGCTTGTGAGCTATCATTTCGAGTGGCTGTGGATCCACCGAATACCTTGTGCCTGTAACTATTCTTGGAGCCCCATATTTGAGAGTGGGGTGCCTAAGGCACTACATTTGGGGTTTGCCACAAGGAGTGATGTAGTGAATAGAGCAAAAGACTGAGTCAGGAAAACCCGGGTTTGAATCCTACTTCAGACACTAGCTGTGCAACAATGGAGTAGTAGATTGGGTCTGACTCATATCACTCCCCTGGTGGTTTAGGTCTGATATTAGAATGAAATAGGATACCCACAGGCCATTCAATGGTTAACAAAGAGAGGTTTAATTAGCTATAGCATAGAAAGGAAAGTGATAGAAAGATGCATATTACTCATCTTGGATAGACATGGTTCCCCTCACCTCTACATAGAAATAGATCTGGTCAGCTGGACCACACATGAACCTGAGGGTAAGAGGTTAAATAACTTGCCCAGGATTATTTAGTTACGATCAGAAGCCGGATTTGAGTTAAAATCTTTCTGTCTCTAAGTCCAATACCCTATCAGCTATACCACCTAGCTGCTACCTAAGTGCATGTAGATGCTATTGTTAATAATAAAATACAAATTCACTTAAAAGCAGTATGAAATTCATATTAGTTTTCTGTAATTATATGTTTCCCCAATTAAAATATACTAATAGTTCAACTACTATCATGTGAGAATCTGTGAAAGTTTGTTAAAGAGTGATCCTCATAATTAAAAGGCCTGGACAGCACATCTATTATACCTGTATTTTCAACGGGGTGAGGGCATTCTCAAGGGAGAAAACTCCCTCTACCAGTGCAGATCAACAATTTTTCTTAAACTTCTTATCTTAGAGAGTTGCTCAGGCCACCAAGAGGTTAAATGCCTTCCCAGGTCTCATAGCCATTTTGTGTCAGAAGTGAGATGTGAACCTAGGTTACTTTGACTCCAAAGCCAGCTCTCCATTCATGATGCAATACTGCCTCTCATGACCACCATCTCCTTTGCCACAGCCTTCCACTCTTATTGAGACCATAAATGAGTCTCTTAGATAAGTTTGAATTTCTGATTTTTTTTCTTAGCAGAAGTAACTTTGCAGTAGTTTATTATATTTTGAAATGTAATCTATATCATAAATGTTATTCTATGTATAATTATATTTAATATATAGCTAGTACAAATAACTTTTTCCAACACAAGATATATAAATATAAAGTTTATTCAGCATAGTATTTAGAAAAATAAGTTCACATCATTTCAGAATACAAATAAAACACTTAATTGTCCAGGCATAAACCCTTATTACAGTACAACATACATACTTTAGATCTCTTTGGTTGGGTAATTAAGCACAGAAATGTTCTGTGACATGCTCTGTGTGCTATCACCTAACAGTGCAGTAAAGACTTATTGTTATCCCATACCATAATATACATTCTGTATAGATTCACTCTTTGTTGTAAGGCACAATAAAATCATAGTGAGTACAGAACTAACTGGTTACTTCTAAACATACAGTACATGCAACAAAAGAATTCATTTCCTTTGAGTCAGAACCCTGAAAGCCAAAAAGAATCACATGCTATATAATTTTGAGTTAAGAATCATATGGTGGTAACATTAAATTATATGAAATGTACCAGTTAGACAAAAAACAATTCTTAGGCTCTATCATCTAATAGTCTCAGGAAGACTCTGGGCTATCTTCACTGGAAAAATTTAATATTTTCCCTGCAATTTTCCTGATTTAGTGAAATTTTTATGAGATGAATTTTGTCAAAAACATTATTAAGAATGAAGAACTTATGACTATTGTACTAATATACACTTGTCTAGCATGTAGCGGGGCAAGCTGCAACGTGTGCCCAGTAATCCAACCATTAACATGCAAGATACAAGGGCATATACAAGAAAATTTAAGGCCAGTGTGCAATTTACTACTGATTTTATCTATGGCTATAACATCTACCGGCCTTTCACAATCCAAGGAAAGGCTCTGACATGTGCACAATTTCAAAGTCTTTTCATCCCTATAAACGCACAGAAGTGAAAAGGAAAAACATAGGCATCTTTGCTTGAATGAGGAAGAAATACATCTTCTCTTTAAACAATAGACTGCCCTGTACCATATAGAACTAAGAATTGAAATGTCAACTTTTGACTGACAGTGCATAGATAGGCTCATACCAGAAACCCCACAGCCAGCAGGGGGATTATGAAGAGGAATTTACATATCCCTATTCTGATTCCCCTCAGGGATCATCAGAGGGATATTTGCAGCATCTTCAAGCACTTCTTTGTGAAAGAGAAGTTCTGCCACATGAACTCCAAGGGCCAGAATCTTAGTATTGCAAATAATAACTTTATAATTTTACATGAGGAGTGCATGGGATAAGTATTATATTATCTCATTCACATGTATATGCACTACATCACATAAACTGACCCTTAACTTACTGAAAGACTAGAAAAGAACACTATGTTCTTTATAATGTGCAATGACTCTTACTTAGTATAGTGTGTATATACCTGGAGCAATCATAAGGTAATATAGTTAGATCATGTTTGGAGTATAAATGGGTCTCCTAGATAAGATTCAAATTTTGTGCTATCTTTTCTTAGGTGAGAAAGGAGGATGAACTTTTCAAAGAGGTGTTTATATATATATATCCTTTTTTTTTGGAAGACACATATATATGCATATGTATGCACACACTCACATACTCTTTCCCAGTTGGTGCTTTAAACACATTCCCATCTCCTTTATAGGATGGGTAGTTCTTTTAAATACATAACCAACTCTTGAGATCTGCAGCAATCATATGGAAAATACCATTTTCTTGTAAACTATACTACAGAACCATATAATTAAGCTCAGTAACATGATCAACACACACCCAAAGGAAAAAACAAACAAACAGTGTAAGTAGTGGCAGAGAAAAGAACTCTAAAACACCTGACTTTGTAAAAAAAAAAAAATAAACCCCAAAGCTTAACAAAAATACTGTCCATCCAGCACTCTAGGAACATTCCCTAATTTTTCATTTAAAAAGAACAGGAGATCTTTTGAGCAAAGTGATGAGTCAAAGGATTCTTTGCACAGCTCTTGATCTTTGTATGTCATTTGCATTCAGCTAAACAACAAAATTTAGGTCCTATTCAAACCTTGCCTAGCACACATGGTTATCAGTGATGACAGTAGCATCTGTGCATAAGAATTAGGGACCTAAAATGGGCCCTTCATTTAGATCTTATAAACAAATGTGGTATCTTTACCTTTGACAGTTTCAGTAAAGTATTCTCATCTCTTGTGATTTTTAGAAACCAGAGAAAAATTTCATAACATTGCTTACCACATAAGTGTACCTTTATTCTACTGTCATGTGTTCAGAATTATTGATAACTATAGCCAGAACTTACAGTATTATTTACACAGATTCCTTGAACTAAAAAAATTACTCCTAAAGAAATGAAAAGATAGTGCAAACAACAGTCATGATATCATAATGTTCAATAGCTCACAAAGAAATTATTTTCCAAAACACTTAGAACTGATTACAGGTTTTAACAGGGAAAGGTATCATTCTACCAGATATATTTGTTCCATTTTCTCTATAATTAGTCTTTGATAGCAGATATGGATAGTTTATATGGATCAAAATGACGTGAAAGTCTTTATAGGACTGTTACACCGTAAGGAAAAGCATTAACAGTGATTCATCTTTTTGCATCACCATTACTAATAGAAATAGTACTATTAAAAATGTAGTGTATGTTTTCACACTAAACCAATTTTACAGTAAAATTAACCCTGGGTGGAGCATCAAAGAACAGTCAATGTATCTCCTCACATGTCTGTACCTTAGTAAGAATGATAAAAGGCCACTAGGTAAAAAAGGCACCTGGAATTCTGTAGAAAATATGTAGGTATTTAAAGAAATTGGAAAAATACTAAATAAAGAATAGCAAAGGGATATGAACAAATGTACCCAAGTTCGAATACTAGGAGAAAGTTTTCTTGCCTCAGTATTATTAACGTTGACCTTATTGGGCTACTGATAAAAATCATTACTTTTAAAATCCTACAAAAAGTAAAACTCTGTTGGAAACAACTATGTTTACTTCCTGTTCAAATAATAAAAATAAATTAAACAGCCAGAAAACACGTTTTCTTTTCGTTTCATTGTGCCTCAAGTTAAAGGGAAACACATACCCTATAAATAAGATTCATTGTACTAATTGAAAATATCCTGCTAATAGTAATTGATATATTTACATTCATGCTGGAGTCTATTTCAGAGTTGTTTTTATTAGAGTGTCAAACTACCTAAGCTTCATTAAACTACCAGCTATCATATCGGTCAGTCAGGAAAGACAATCCAACTAGCTGGGAAAATGCTGAAAAACAGAAGTATTCAGGGTTTATTCAGGTTCTTAACATCAAAACTATCTTAATAATAGTTTGGAGGTATCATCTATGCTTTTTAAAATGTATCAATGCCCAAGGAGTAAGAGTAAACAAAAAGAATTGCATTATTTCTATCCTTTTATAGCTACATTTCATTTTCTAGAAGTTAGGTATGTATATATTTTACTTGTGAAACATAAGTTTCTATGTGGAAGTTCCATTTCAGCCTTTAGGGTTACATTAAGTGAACCAAACCATCGCACCTTCACTTGATAATCTCCTTCATGTTCTCTTCTTTGGTTAAAAGAGAACATTAACACGTGAACAAAAAAGGATATAGTTTTGCTTCCATGGATTTAATTGTGGTCTTCATGCAAACTCAATTCAAAGTCTTTGAAATTTATCTCTCTGCCAAACTGTGCAGTATTTTCCTTAAGTAGGGAAAATGCTTAATGTCCTCAGGGCCTCTGGACAAGATTTGAACACGGATGCCAAAAACAAAGGGGAAAAAATTATAAATCTTGCATATCTTGATCCAACTGGACAGTCTGGAGCTTGGCAAGCTCTTTTTTGTCTGTTTCCAGTTCTTCACAGACTGTTTCAACAATGCCATCCAGGACATATTTGGATTTGGAATCCAGCATCATTAAGTTGCTTGCTGTTTTGTCCTCAGAACTTGGTATGAAATCCTCCTTTATGTTAGATACGGATTGCAGAACTAACCGGTGCTCTCTGACAAAATCCTCATGTACTGCTGGGGAGGAATGACCCACACGTTCTCCAGCTGCTGGAACTATTTCCCCAAGGGCAGGCTGGGTCATTGGAATTGACATTAGGTCTGGACCAGTAATAAGGGAACAGTTCTGAAGAGTTGCATAGTTAGTGTTGCTGACAGATATCACAGTAGATGTGCTTGTTACAGGTGTAGACAAGGGCTGGCTCTCAGTAATATCAGCATTTAGCTCTGTTGCATTTAGTAGAGCAGGGGGAGCTAGGGAAAAATTGTGAGTTGGAGTTACATTAACTAATGATGAGGCCATAGGATGTAGGCCACTGCTCGAGATATTTTCAGAAGACATGTTTACATTGACTTGTGGGTTTTGATTGACAGGCATTAATTGAGAAAATACAAGGCTCCTTTCCAAGCCCTCTTGTTTAACAGATCCTACTGTTTGACCTGAATTTGGAACTGTGTAGACTACTGCACTAGGTGCAAGAGAGCTGAAGAAAACCTTTCCTTGCTGTGCTGTGGTAGAGTCACTTGTAAATGTCCCCCCATCAGAAGTGCTTGAATTTACTGAAATATTACCTAAAAAGAATAAAGTAAAGATTACTGTTGATTGGAAATGATATGGGATGATGAAAAGTTGCTTCATTATTTATTTATTTACACATTATTTTTCTCAGATTTTAAGTTAATGAACAATATCATTTATAAGAGTTTAGCCAATGTGACATAAAAGAATTCCTTTGACTTATTTCTGAATTTTAGGTCTTTCTGGTTCACTACTAAAAGCTTGATAGTAGCTAGGATTTACACATAGAGTGCTTTAAGATTTGCAAAGTGCTGTACATGTTATCTCATATTTCATCCTCACAAGAGCCCTGTGGGATAGATGCTATTATTATCATCCCTATTTCTCAGATGAGGAAACTGAGGTTAAAGGAAGTTAAAAGTTAGTAAGTGTCTGAAGCAGAATTCAAACTCATGTCTTCTAGATGCCTAGTTTTTAATTAGTTGATGTGCATTGCTGTCTATGCCAACTAGAACTGGAAAACACAAATACAAAACACCTTTGTTGGGGACAGCTCAATAACTAACTAAAAGCATATATGGATATGCAGAAAATATTGCATGAAGTAACTTGCCCTGGGGGCTTCAAGTTAACCATATGAACCTGTGGAGACAAGTTTCAAACTTTCACCTAACTAACCATAAAATAAATAATGTCAAGGCAATTAGACATTCAAAAGGTCTTTTCTTTTGCTCTGACAGAACTGAACTTTAAAACATGCTTCTAAGTCTGATATAGTGATAGACAGGATTAATGGGAATATTGAAATGTGCTTTTTCAAATACATTTCAATATAAGAGCAAAGTCTTTAAAATTGACCTTTTAAAGCTATCATTAACAGTCTATAGAGACCAGTTCCATAGGAGAAAAGAGCAAAGAATTAAATGAATTATCCAATTAATTCATATCAAATGTTATTTTTCCCTGAAAATATGCAGATAATATTATATTTCACTTCAGGAGAACTTCCTTTTGATATTTTAAGACCAAGTCTACACAGTCAAAGCAAATAGAGAGTTGAATGGATATTTCTACTAGATAACTGAGGCAGCTTAGTTAGCCAGCTAGTACAAACCTTCCAAGTGCTCCACAAAAACCTGTTTTCTTGTTTAGACTGTCTGTATAGGCAAAACAAAGCAAAGACTACTTACTGTCTTAAGGTTTACACCAAAATATCCTATTAATGAGGGGGTAAAGGGTTTGGCAATTTGAATTATAGATTTAAGCTAGAAGGCTGCTTAAAGTTTATTTAATCCTGCCCCTTCATTTTACAGGAAACTGAGGCCCCAAGAAAATAATTGTCTTGCCCAGGTTCACCATGCTAATAAATGACAGAGGCAGAATTCAAACTCAGGTCTTCTTGATTCCAAGTCCAGTGCTCTATCCATTACACCAAATTGCCTTTCCATTTCTTTCGGAAATCTTTCAGGTTGACTGTCTAAACTAGGGGTTTTTACCCTGGGGTCCATGAACTTAAAATTTTTTTTTTGAAAACTATATTTCAATATAATTGGTTTCCTTTTATAATGTTACATAGTTTATTCATTTAAAAACATCATTCCGAAAAGGGATGTATGGGTTTACCAGACTGCCAAAGAGGTCCATAACATAAAAAATGCTAAAAAACCCTGGATCTATGTCAATCATATTCAACATGTTAACAGTTCCAATGCTTCCTAGACATACAGTTGTAAGCACTTAACATTTCTGAGCCTCAGTTTCCTCAACTGAAAAACAAGGCAGTGATACTTATACCACCTATCTCAAAGGAAGGTTTTTGAAAAGGTACTTTGTAAATCTTAAATCACTATCTGAGTTGCTAGTATTCAATTTACTTCATGGACAAAGTTCCAATTTTAAGTAAAACTCATAAAATAATTTTTTTTGCTTGGATAATAAGAATCATTCTTACGAAGTTACTTTCCTATGCTGATAAATGAAATATGGTAGGAAACTTCAGATATCCTCAGAAAAATTTGTAAATAAGCCTAACTACAATGGAATTTTTTCAAAGTCAGCATTTTGGTAAGCATTCCACAAAGAAAATTATATTTTCTAATATTTTAAATTTTGGGAAAATGTATATAATTAGTAAGGTAAAATTTCTTTTTATAGACTAAAATGTACAAGAGAGTATATTTCCTCCTACTATGTATAAATATAAAATATTCCTAATTTCTAAACATTGTGATTATATTTCTGAAATAAAATATATTGATGATATGCTCAAATTTTTCTTATTCTCTCTTTCTTATATGCTCTCTGCTCCAATTTCCCTACCAAATGCCTGTGTCAGTCAAACAACTGAAATTATTGCTTCCATTTGAAAAGATTTGCCTGAAGCTTAAATATACTTTAAAACTCTCAACTTGAGCTTCTAGGATGTAGCCAAATTAATATGTACATACATACATATTTGGTGACCCATATGTTTTATTTCAAAGTTGCATGCCAGTATATACGACTTTTTACAATCTCCTTTTTATTTGCTGTCTCTCTCCGCCACCCCACCCCCCAGTAGAATATAAGCTCCTAGAGGTCAAGGACTGGCATACTTGGCTTTATTTGTAGCTTCACGGTATAGAAGAGTGCCCAGGACATAGCAAACACTTAATAAGTGCTTTATTTATTTATTCATCAAAATTCCTAGCAATTTAAGACTGTGCTATTAAATAAGATCATTATACTTTCCTTTTTTCAATAAATATTTAAGAGTAAACAACCAAATTTCTGAGTATGCTCTAGAAATGCTACCATAATAAATAGAAAAATGCAAAAATGATCTAGAAAGCTCTTTTCAGATCAAATAACTCCTGAACAAAGAAACTGCATTATAAATCTAAAGAGAACTGTCACAACTAAATAGATAAATAAAACTTTATAAGGATTATGTTTCAAGGTTTTTTCGGTTAAAAGCAAATAAGTACTTTATAATAAGCCAAATAAAATAAAAAACTAGGTACAAAATATAATTTTAAAGATCTAATGATGATAAGAAGTGATATGGTGAACTACATCTTTTTTCTCACATATAAGAGTAAGAAAACATGTCAGAAAATGTGTGAATTATTATTATTTTTTTCACCACAAAGAAGGACTAGGTACAGAAAGATGATTTACCTAGTCAGCAACTTTTGAAGTAGGCTAATACTATTTATCTTAGATAGAGGTTAAACACTAAAAATATGCATAATTGTGAATTACTATACTGTACCAAGAGGAACACTGCTTCCTGAATCCATCTGGTTAAACTTATGCCTTCAACTTACCGAAATAGTCCCAAGACTGACAGCCCTGTCATTTGATCTTAGCTATTATAACTAAAAATGCTATTCTTATTCCCATTAAATGTCTCATTTTTAAAAATTAAGCTATTAGCCCCTAATAATTTTCTGTGGCATCAAGTTTCCCAGGTTACACATCAAAAATATTTCTCCATCTCAAACCCTCTTCCCAACTCCACCCCCACCCCCAATAACTATTTACTTTTTGCTTTAAATATGTTACCTTGAGATTTTACCTATTAGTCTTTGGTGAATTTTCCTGAAGAGGGAAAACAGGCAGTGGGGGTGGGATGGATGGTATTGAGAAGAAAAATGTATATTTAATCATGTAAAAAAATCAACAGTTATTTTCACCTCATTTTTCATAGTTTTATGAGGTTTTTCTACTTGTTTTGGCTCCTTCAGTAACTTGGAATACCAAAATAATGATGAATACGTTATGAGATTTCTGAGTTTCAGCATTATGTACTAAAATGGGAATACATATGCAAAACAACATTTATTTCTGAATTGTTTTTCTATCACCAGCTAGGAAAGTTAATGCTGTGTACAACAGTACTTCATTTTATGTATTCCTGTAAAACTATGTGTAAATTCTAGTTTTCTAAGTCAAATCACAAAGTTAGATTTGGAGTTAAAAGGATTTTTAGAAGTCATATAATCCAACCCCTTCATTTTTCAAATGAGGAGACTGAGTTCTAGAGAAGTAAAGTGGTTTATCCACACTGCCACTTGCAGTGTGTGGCAAAACCAGGAATCAAACCCAAGTCTTTTGCAGAGCTCCAAATCTAGCATTCTACTTCAGCACACTATTTAAAGGCCTCAGGGAAACTAGATTTCTAATGAAATTCTATTGCAAATACTTATTTGTTAAATGAAGAACCACCACTAATTGATCTTTTTTGTGCTATTGTCCAGGGTAACAGAGTTATCTGAGAGTCAGAAGACTTCAGTGAGAATCTGGATTTTGGCACTTATTAGTTGTGTGGTCCTGGGCAAGTCACTTTACTTCTGAGTCTATTTCCATATATTGGGTTTGTTTAAAGAAAGATAAACCTTCCACTCCAATATTAAGGGAAGTGTTCAGCTTTCAACAAGTTTTCACCATCTCCATTGTGTAGATGCATACATTCAAGCAGAAAGATGACAAAACTTGCTCAAAGTCATGGAGAGAGCTAGCATAATGGCCCTTGGTTCTCATGAAGTCCAGTTCAGGGCTCTCTTTATTGTACTAGATTGCCCTGATTTTGATCCAGTCTTTTCTATCTATAGAAATAATGGAAATAAGCAGTCATCTGAGAGACATCCTAGTATGTGATGGATAATCTAAGGGGACATAAACAGGAGTTCAAACACACATTCCTTTGGTTTCCCTTTAGTTTTGTAACTCTCAATTATACATGGCTCAAACACAATCAATCCACTCTCATCACTGTCCCTGATTTTAGCTTGCTCTTACAAAATGTTTTTGGTCAAACACTTGATATGCTTAGGTAAAACGCATGTTCACACCAGCTCCTAAGGCTTATTCTTTGTTCTAAGTGCTAATATTAATTTTTAATTTTAAAAAGCCAAGCAATGGGTTATTTTGTAAGCACCAATATTTTATATTCTGTAATTGCAGAGCTGGCAAGACTTCTCATGGACTATATTTTTCCATTCAGCTCCTAAAAAAAAATACAGCTCATCCCCATGATCCTAGGGAGTTAAGCATGTTGAGTGCTGCTAACAGGTGTTGTAGTGAGGGTGAGCTGAAAGAACAGGGATATTTTGCAGCTGTAGCAGACACCAGGGAACTTGGGCTACAACACCCCTACATAGGTTTCACAAAAGACAGCAGCTGACACACATGCTCACTTTTGCCCAAGGCATTACTATAGCAAATGAAACCTTTACCTTGTGAAGCTGCCACTGAAACAGGAGGCAGCTGCAGAGAAGAGAATCCAATGCTTCCATTAAGCAACTGGCCATTTGTTCCTGAATTGGGGATCTGTACAATGCCATACTGGTTTATTTGTACGGGAGTTGTAAAAGTCACCACAGAACCTCCATCTTGAGAAGCCACTGTTTGTATGCCTTCCCTTTTCACTTCAGTGCTAGGTATCAAACCAGGAAATGAAGCAGGGACACTGGGGCTGTAGGATGTTGTTGCTGTAGAATTTGTTGTGGAACTCTGGAGGATTTTGAAATCTTTTACATCCTCTGAAGGAGATCCCAAGATGTCAGTCATGGATGCACCATTGTTCACAATGCTTGATGAAGTTTTTGATGGGTTCAAAGTCACAGTCTGCGCATTTCCTACATTTAGCCCATTAAGGATTACACTGTTAGGTCCCTGAATAAAGGAATTGCCATTAAGGAAGACAGGTGATGTACTTGCAGGTACTAAGCCTCCATTCAGTAACACTCCAGGGGAACTTAATGATATTTTAGTGTTTCCAATTTGTTGCATATACACTGGTTCCATGTGGCTGGAAAGGCTCAAGTTGGTAACTCCATCAGAAGAACTGGAGAGTGAATGAGGAGATAAATCCTCATGTCCCTTGCTGGACTCATCTTCAGTGCTGGGATTACCATCTGACTCACTGTGTAGGGGAAAAGAAATCAAGACACATTAGAGGTCAAGGGGATGACATTTTAAGTACTTGCAATTTGTTTGGAAAATCAGGTCCTAAATCAGAGGATGGGAAGAAAGCATGATGTCTGTTGGCCTCATGTAGATCGAGAAGTCTCTGTGAAGAGATTTTAAGTATGAGTCAAGGAGAGGGTAAATCTCAGATCCTAAGTCATCTTTTGATAAACTCAGAAAAACGGTCTGGGAAATGCAACATCAGCCAACATGAGTAAAAGGAATATTGGGTAGAATCATAGGAAGTTAAAGCTGGAAGGACCTTAGAAACCATATAACTTAACTCTCACTGTACAAAGGTGGAAATTGAGCTCCAAAATGAGGAAGTTAAAGGTCCATGGTCATAAAGTTAGTGGCAGAGTGTATTTTTTTCTACCATTACAGTTCTGACTTTTACCAGTAAATAAGTTATTGTTTACACTTAAAAAAATAGAATTATCATTGCTCTGGAGTTTTGGGTTGAGAAATGTCTTTAAACAAATTTGATTAGTACTATTTTAGAGATAATGTAATAATCAAAGCACTAGGATATAGGCTTCCATTTGCCCTGGGGAAAAGAAAATTTAGCACCTTGAGGTGGTTTTTAATTTTTTTTAAACCCATTAGAGACCTGGACAGATAATGGGAAGTGATAACTCAACAGTCACCTTCTTTCTGTAAATGTTTACATCAATTGACCCTCCCTATCCTCAGCTTTTATGGACCCAAGTTTCCCCTATCTAATTCTAAAGAAATTGTTGGATTTGTGGGGAAGGAGCCTTCATCCCAAGAACACTACCTGGCATGCACTTGTCTTTGAACTTAGAAAAAAATAGAAATGGGCCAGGTGAAATGAGAGGAAAAGGGGATAAGCTAAAAACAACATAACAAGAAGAAACCAAATACTTCCCCCTCCCTCGTGGTTTCCAGGCCATGCACCCTCAGGCCTCTTCCCCAGTCTCTCCAGATTCCATCTGTTCCTGAGAACACCTCTTTTTTCATTTATCAGGTTTAAGAGAAGGATTCAGGATGGAAGCGTGGTGGTGTTTCCCTACTTGGCCTAAGATTGGAATGGAAGAGAGTGAGGGGCTGGTTGGAGAGCTGAAGAAGGTGGGATGTTCTTGGCCTGGCTATATTCTGAAATGTGCCTGGCAGGGTCTGTTTCACTTTAGTGCTGAGGGAGAGGATTACTCTGGCTTTGGGCTGTGGGGCTGGGAGAGCTGTGAGCATTTTGATTTATGAGCTGAGATTGAGCCTCAGTCGCTGTCTGAGAGGGTGACTCATTGGGGGAGGGCGAGGGTGGGGGCGGGGGCAGATCAGGAGAGGGGCAACCTGGAGGAGGGGGCAGTGAGGAAGAAAGCCCTGATGGTAGGAAAAGAAGAGGATTGGAGCGTGTGTGGTGATGGGTGTGTGAAACTAGCGTGGGAGGAGGAGGGGAAAGGCAAGATCCTGTATTGTGTATGCCAGGACACCCCACTCCCCACCACTTTCTACCCTGGGGCCCCACTTATTTCCTCATTGTTAGAGGACTAGGGCAGGGATCCCTAACCCTTGGCTAATACAGGTTGAGTTTTTGATTGAGGAGTAATTAATTCTCTTATCTGCAACTTTTTTTTTCTTTCTTTATTCTCAATCTCACTTTCTCTCTCTTTTGGTGTGTTTTGTTTTGGTTACAGTCAGGCTTCAGTATTGGATTCTCCAGGCTGCTCTTGGGGCCCTTGGCTGGCTCTGCTCAACCGCCTCACCGCCCTCCTTCTTTCCTCCTCCCTCCCTCCCAGGGAGAGGAATGCCTGGAGGCCCGGTTTGCCCAAGGAAGGAGGGAAGAGGGGAAAGGGGGAGGGGTAGGAGGAGGAGAGCAGGCTCTGGAATGTGCCTTGTGCGCCCAGTGGTCACCTCCACCTGGCCGGCTCCAGTTGCCTTAGGGCCCTTCAGCTTCGGCTCACCCCAGCTCATTGATTCTTTCTTTGATCGACATATCATGGATATTTTGATAGTTTCTCCAGGCCCGAGTGGGTTGGGGACAGTATCTCCTTCAACCCTTTCCTGTGCCACAACTAACAGTACACATACTCAGGTAAGCACCATCCCTGCGATACACACAACCACAGGAAGTATATTCAGGCGCAAAAACAAAAGCTCTGGGAAACCTGATCCTTTCTGACAGAGAAAGACTGCAAGAAACAAAAGATCCAAACGGGCATGAGATCCCTGTGCACCCACTTCCTTCCCACCGCCCGCCATAAGCCACCTAGCCATGAAGCCATAGGAGAACGGAGTTTAGAAAGCACATTTTTTTTTTTTCCATCCCCGGCTTCCCCGGACTGCGATGAAACCCGATCCGAAGGAGCTTAGAATCAGGTTTCAAAACACTGTAGACGAGAGCCGCACCAACACCCCCACGTTGCTGCTGCTGCTGCTGCTACTGCTAAAAAGAACAGCGGGCATAGTGAATGATTAACTCTGTCAAATAAAACCTCAGTCTTAACACTGTTGCCCCCCCGCAGCCTCCCACCCTGCCATCTCCCCCCACAAACTACCATAGTCCAAAGTACAGGCCCCTCTACCCCCAATTACTCTACAGCAATTTCCAAGCCCAAGGCTGAGGAGCTGCAGAATCCCAAGTAGGGGTGTGTTGTGTTGTGCTGTGTGTGCATGCCCAAGCTGGAGAAAGCAGAACTAGAAGGGTCGGGTGGGGTTCGGTGGGCAAATGTTTGTGTGGAAGCAGTCCATCACGCCTGTGTCTGACCAGAGGGAGGAAAGCCCAAAGCCAGGCGAGCCCCAATGCGAGGAGGAAGGAGGAAGCTGAGCGCTCCCCTCTAATGCCAACAAACTCCTTCGCTTCACGCCGCCAGACCCGGGGACAGTGGCAACTTCAAAAGACTGAGGGACTGGGGTGGGCAGAATTGACCGGTCAAAGGTGGGGGGTGGGGACTGATACCCCGGCGAGAAGAAACTTCTAGGGGAAGGAGGGGGAGGGTAAAGAGAGCTGTTCCCTCCTCCTTCCTCCCCCCCACCCCCAAGCCTACCTCCACTCCCTAGTCCTCCAGTGCAGCGTCCGGGAAGAGAAGGAGGGGGGAGGTAGGGAGGAGGGAAGGGAGAGGTGGGCAGCAGCAGGACAAGGCTAGTGGGGAAGGTAAGCGCCATATTTGCAAGCGCTTGGAGGAAAAGCAGGCTGGGGGGTGGGGGAGGGCGAGCGAGAGGGAGGAGAGAGAGGAGAAGGAGGAGGAGGAGGAGGAAAGTTTGGCTCCTCACCTTTTGGACTGGGTCTCGGAGGGGTTCCGGTCGCGCTGCCTCCGGTTCTTGAACCAGTTGCTGACCTGAGTGAGGGAGAGGCCGGTGATCTTGGCCAGGTGCCGCTTCTCTGCCGGGGACGGGTAACGATTCTGCTTGTACAACTCCTTGAGCGCGTTGCGCGATTTCTCCTTGAAACAATACACCGTCTCCTCTCCGTCCCAGATGGTCCGGGGCAGGGGGAATTTCCTCCTCAGCCTGTACTTGTCCACGGCTCCCAAGGGCCGGCCCCGCGCTCTCTCGGCTTCACTGTAGCGCGCCTTGTACCAGAGCTGCTGCAGAAGCGGGTGGTTGGCCGACTCGAAGCTGTGGCTCTCGAGGATGCTGTAGAGCTCTGGGTAGATGCCCTGGTGGAAGGCGACCAAAGCTCGGGCTTTCAGGAGACTCTCGTTGCCACGTAGCAGGTCGCTCTGGGGCAGAGACCACAGGAACCGGGCCAGGCGGTCCAAGTTTCCCCCTTGCTGCAATGCTTCGCAAACGCAGGCGACGTGGTCCGGAGAAAAAGCCAGCGGGGTCTGCGCTGCAGCCGCGGCGGCGGCGGCGGCGGCGGCGGCGGCGGCCGCCGCGGCTGCTTGGTGGTTTCGGGCTAGAAGTTCAGAGTGGAGTTGTACCTGGTCCGCCGCAGCTCCCGCGGCGGCCACTGCTGCTGCGGCCGCTGCTGCGGCTGCGGCCGCGGCCGCTACGGCCGCTGCCGCCCCCTCCTCTCCGCCAGCAGCAGCGGTGGAACCCACGGGCTCCATGGGGAAAGGGGCGGCAGCCGGAGGATTGAGTGCTGCCACGGCTCCCCCCACCACTTCTCGTGGCGCCTCCTTTCCTTCGGGGGCGGCTTCCATCCCATTTTCTTGCTTTATCTCCACCGCACTTGCGATCTGGTCCGTGGGGGAGGAAGAGGACATTTTTTGTCGTCCCCCCCCCACTCCTCTCTTTCTTTCACTCTCCTTCTTCTTTCGCCCCCCCTCCCCCCTTCCCCTCTCCGGAAAGCCCACTCCCTCCCTCCTGGTTTCGGCAGGATCTAGCTGATCAGGTTTCTCCCCGGCCACGCAGTCACCATTAAGATAGCTGCTATAGCAAAGTAGTGTAAACGGATAGCTCCTTTCTGCCTTTCCCCCAACGTGACTCCTCGGGTTGCTGCATACTATATGGCACAAGCAGCCTGACTGGCCCAGGCGAGCCACCTCATTGGCTATTTGCATTCAGAAAGAGGAGGAGACACCATTTCTCTCCCCCACAATCACCCCTCCTTCCTCTCCGTCCCTCCCCCCCCTTCCCCTGACCCTAAACACCTATACCTGGAGAAGTTTGGACATTCTTCTTAATACGGGCCACTGAGTTAGCAAAAACATGTCATCGTCACCTGAAAGCTAGACAGTAGAAGCCTTATAAAAAAGTACACCAGTGAGAGTTCTGAGAAAAGAACAGTGGAGTTAGGCAGGTAGTATTAAAGAATGTAAGTAAGCTTTCAGGTCCAGTTGTCTAAAATCCCACAAAAAAAGCTATCACTAGCAAAAAAGATGACAACACCTTAAAGAAGCATAAGAACTAGCATCCCCACTCCCCTCCGATTCTGTTTCTTCTCACACATCTACCATGAATTTTTCTTAAAAGGATAAAATGGTATGGAGAAATACTAAGGAGAAGAAACCCACTGAGAACTGAAAATTTCCATCAAGTAAGAATGCATATTAAATAGCTTTACTTTTCTTTTTAGAGCCAACTTTATAGTATTTAGTATAGATAACACACTGAGAACACTCAGACCATGAGGCATTCACACTTACGTTTAACATCAAGATATCTAACGGCTTGGAAGTTAAAATGAAACAATTGCAATAGAATAGTAAAACAAATGGTGATGTAGCAGTAGATGTAGCAGTAGAACACATCTAGTCTCTGATAAATTCATCACTGTTGGTACAATTGATGAATGAATTATGGAAATCATAATTTTATCATAACATAATAACAGCAGGAAAGAATAGTTATATTCCTTATAATGTATCCATGTATCTCTATGAACCATTGTGCTTATTCAAAGGTGTTATATTTCTATACTAGGTTCCAGGTATTTCTGAAAAGAAGATCAGTAGTTCTTTTCACCTATAGATATAGTGGAAGACAAAGACCCTTCTTTCATTTGAGACCGAAGCTTTGGTGTCTGGAAATCTGTTGTTGCCTTTTCTCTTCACTGACTACACAAAGTATTTGCTTAGAGTCACCCAGTCTCTGAATGCTATTAATTAAGAGGATCTACTTAAGAGGATTCATTACCTATGCTGCATTGTTGTAACTTTACTTCAGTTATGTCCTTCTTCTGTCCAAACTACTTTTAGTGACCACTTCAGATTATCATAAGACACCTGCTCAGGACTCTTGCTGTCATCAATCCTAAGTCCAGATCTTATTTTTAATTTAATATTCATTTCAATTCAATAGTCACTTAACAAGCATTCTTTAAGGGCTTTTTATGTTCTGGGCTCTGTTGGGGGTGCAATGAGAGACCAGAAAAACAGTCACTGCCTTCAGAGAACTTGCCTTCTAGCACTTGGAGCTTCTTTCAAAGCTCAATTTTTTTTCTTTTGTTCTGGACATGTGATTTGATTGGTGGAGGGAGTTCCACATTGAGGAAACTCGACCAATGTAGATCAAGTTTTCTGTATCTTATAAACTTTGAGAGCTTCCTAGAGCATTGAGAAGTTAAAAATGATTTGTCCAGGGTCACACCTCCAGTGTGTATTAGAGGCTGGACATGAATTCTGTCAAGGTTTCAATGAAATGTAATTTAACTTTTAAATGTTTTATTGGTGCCTTTTGTTTTTAATGTCACAGTTATTTCTAGATAACCCCTTCAGTATCCAACCACCCCTTATAAAAATGAAAACACAACTAAGCAAAAACAACCTATACAGTGACCCTTCTAATAGTATACATATAACATTCTGCATCTATCATCCCTTTTACCAATATGAGGGGAATGTGTTTCATCATCTTTTCTGTGGAACCAAAATTGATCATTGCAATTACTCAGAGTTTGTATCCCTTTAACTGTTCTTTTAATTTATATTGTTATAGCCGTTCTACACAATATTCTCTTGGTTCTACTTACTTTTGTCTGCATTTATTTGCACAAGTCTTCTTATGTTTCTCTGTATTCCTTATTTTCATCATTTTTATCGTACAATAATGTACTCTTACCTTTGTATTCAATTGTTTGTTCGACTGTTCCCCAATTATTTCATTTTTAGCTCTTTATTACCACAAAAAGTGCTTCTATTTGGACATTGTTGTTACTTTCTTTTCTGTTTGTCCAGAACTCTTTTGGGACCTATGTCCAGCATATCATATCATATGTCCAGAATATCATAAAGTCAAGGGCTATATAAACAATTTCATTACTTTTCTTGCACAATTCCCAATTGTTTTCAAGAACAATTTAACCAATTCTTATATGTAGCAGTGTTACATGTAAATTATATTATTGCCAATGAAATTACAGAACAAGCTAGATATGATTTCTGTGACTGATAAATCCAGGTTTGTTGGTCATTTACCACACCATAAATTATCATCATTTTCTCAGCCTTCAGTTTGGAATATGTTTGGTGCTGTTTTGACCTCCTGGCCCTTCAAAACTGAAAACTCTGCTAATCCTTGGACTGAAGATGATAGTTTTTTTCTGAAGCTGCTGTTTATGGATAACATAACAAGACTAATTAAGCCCCAGAACATTACAAGAAGGGGGTATCCTCAGAGAGATCCATGGCTATTCAAAAAATGAATGATACATACATTGCCAGATTAAGACATGATGTTGGATGGGCAGCTCACTAATTTGGTACATATGTCTTGTTAGACACTGAAGATGGACAGTGAACTTATCCTGGAATTGAATAAGATCACAGGACTGTAGATGTAGAGTTTTAAAAGACCTTAAAGGTTATCTAACTCAACCTCCTGATTTTATAGACGAGGTAATTGATGTCCCAGAGAGGTTAATCACTTGTTCAAAGTAGTAAGTTGCAGAGCTAGGATTTGAACCAGGTTTTCTGATGCCAAAATCCAGTTCTTGTTCCATTAAATTATGCTGCATCTTAATATCAGAAGAATTAGAATTATGGGCAAAGAAACCACATGGTATATGTGAGTAGGCTAAATAATATTATGAATGACTTGCATATGAGGAATGGCTTAAAAGACCTTATTGTGAAATGAATAAATAAGCATTTATTAAGCACTTACTATGTGCTAAGTGCTGGGGATGCAAATAGAAAAGCAAGGCTGCTTTCAAGGAGCTCTAGGGAAGGCTATTAGGTAGAAAGAGTGAAGGATAAAAGATAAACAGCTGGAGTGTTGTTCTGGTATCTAAAGGAAGGCCTCCAGGAAACTGGTTATATCCTCTGTGGATGATGAAACACATTCCCCTCATATTGGTAAAGGGTATGATAGATGCAGAAAGTTATATGTATACTATTAGAAGGGTCACTGTATAGGTTGTTTTTGCTTAGTTGTGTTTTCGTTTTTATAAGAGGTGGTTGGATACTGAAGGGGGTATTAAGAAATAATTGTGACATTAAAAAAATCTGTGGACAAGAATGACTCTAAGATCAGAGAAAATAGGTAAGTTGCCATCTGTACTGGTCTGGTGGAGGAAGTTTTCCACATCAATGAGATCACACAGATCAAGTAAAGCACAGGTATTTACCAGTGAAATGCAGCAGACATATACCAAGAACCAAGAGGAGTCAGGTAAGCCCCCTCCATCTTTATTCTTTGAAGACTCTGAGAGGGGAGCTATTTCTATATGTAATGGGTGCTAAACCCAATGGAGCAAGTGTGGAGCTGGGCCTTTAGGGGCCATCCCAGGGAGTGTATACCAGTTCCTTAGAAACTTTCAGGGACTGTAGGGACATGTGTGACTCAACACTGAATGTCTTAATCCTGAGGTGACAAAGCAATTCCCTTAATGGCCACTGAGCAGGAATTAATACTGAATCAGTAGATCTTTAAGGGCCCTCTATTTCTTCTCTTGCTATCTCTCATCATGTGAAGACTGTTCAAGCTTTTCCCTGGAGGAGTGAGGCAGGGGGCAGGTGTCCTTCCCCTGTTCCAGCCATTTGCTGACTGTGAGTACATGGAAACTAAAGCATGTGTCCTGCCTAGGTGAGTCTGAGGCTAGATCTCTGAGCCCTGTTTTATGTTTCTTCCCTGAAGAAAAGTGAACAAAGATGCCAAGATGGACATATCTAAGCTTGGGTATCAAGAAGAAGTGAGATCTTAGATCCTTTATCAGTGTGGGCATTGCCCTGTCTACATCCATTACAAATGCTGGAGAAGATGACTGCTGTCCAGAGGATGAATGGAACCCTTGATCTGACTTGCCAGAAAATATGACCTTTGAAAGAATTGTTTGGACTGTGTAAAACAGAGGGGAAAATATAAAATTCTTAGCACCATGGTTTAAATAGGCCACAGATAAGCTGGAGTGTAGTCATAGGAGGGCAACCAGAATAGTGAAGGGATTTGAGTCCATAACATGTTAGGATTTGTTGAAGGAATTGGGTACATTTACCCTGGAAAAGAGAAGACTAGATGTGTGGCAGCTATATTCAAATATTTGAACTATCTTATGAAGAAGGGATTAGGTTTGTTCTGTTTGTCCCCACAGAGAAGAATCAGGAGAAGTGGGTCAAAGCCACAAAGAGATCAATTTAAGATTGATATCAGGAAAAACTTGCTCACAATTAGAACTGTTCAGAAATAAAATGAACTGCTTGGAAAGATGGGGTGTGGGATAGTTCTTTCATGGAGCTCTTTAAGTAGTGGCTGGAGGACCACTGGTCATCTATATTATAGCGGGGACTATTTTGGTGTCTGAATTGGACTAGATGACCACAGACAT